TACCTTGCAGATGAAATTAATCATTTCATCAATGATGGAGACAATTGGAACCAACTCAGTTCAACTTGACAACTAGGCCATATGTTTAAAAGACTTTAAGGATTGGATAACCACTATTGGAAACAGTATAGTTTCTAGTTAGTTATATCAGAATTGCTGAAGAGGGTGTGGTGATTTTCAGTGTCTCCAGGTGTTCGCACCTGTTAAGAATATCCAACTTTGCGAGTTGTAATCAAAGAGGTACATAGTTGTATAATAAATAGATGTAGTCCATGAACACTCAGATGCAGAATATAAATATTGAAGTGCCTACCAAGCTTTTGACATTACTAAGTAATGGAGAAGAGACCTTAACAATAAAATATTATTTTTACAATTCTATCCTACTTTACCAAATTTACTTTACTCTTAGTAGTCATAAAAAAAACGAGTGAATTTGAGCCTTCCTAAACAATCTCCATCTACAGAAATGAATCTTGGTTGGCCCAGAGAACTCTGAAGTCTATCAGATTGTCTCTGCCTAACACATACCACCCAGTTGTATTCTCACATCTCTCATGTAGTCTCTTGTTCTAGGAGAGATAGCATTACTTAGTAGATAGAATACTACTACTAGTGGAAGATAGAGAGGAGGAGGGTGGTAAAATTGACTGAGGCCTATTGAGTAGACTAAAGCAACCCCCAGGGGAAGAAGAAGAAATTTATCGTAATTGCATACTACAAACCATATTCCCAGCTGTCTGTTGTAGGAGAAATGCGAAAACCCAACTGTGTTGATGCTAAGTGAGGATAGAGCAAAAGTAAAGTAGAAATGAAAGCTAATATTATGAAATGTTGGGAGGAAGAGAGGAAGGTCTCAAGAGTGTAGAACTTAAGAGAGAAAGCAAGAGGAGTGTCCCAAAGTAATGGGAGGATAAGAAGTGATGGCCTAGTCCCCCCTTATGATAGGGATCAGACGTGAAAAGTTGTGAGAAAAGCTGTGATGTTGAGGCCTTCCCATATAGGAAATAAATTTCAATCACTGGTGTAGTAGAGACAGTCGATATCTAGTAATAGAGAGCAGCTGGCAATATATGAATTCTACTTGAGTCTATGTGAGATTTCTTCTTGAGATCAGGACTTAATTGAGTAAAGCTTTAGACTTAATGATATTAAATTTTACTTTTTTCTTTTTTTTTTAACTCTACTGTTGATATGTCTATCTTTATTCATAGCTCAATTAATATAAGGGGTTGACGATAACAGAGAACAGAAGATATATTATAGTACTTGAGAACCGTAAAAGCCCTTAGAATCCACTATCTCCGCCAGGCATGTAATCTCCGTCAAATCCTGACATCAATCTACCCTAGGTCTAGTATGATAGGTTAAGAGAGTTGCGAATACCAGTAAATAAGATCCGACACATCTAGGAAGCTGGTCTTCTACCATGTCAGGGAAACGCTAACCCCTCCCGGGGCTTTCCAACCCAGAATCCGAATATTACTGAGCTCGGGGAGTGGATTCTAAAGAGTTTATGGTAGTTGATGGCTTGTTATAACTTAGGTTGCAAGCAAATTTGTGAACTCTTGGCCTAGCGTATCATGGCAGGGACCAGGGGTATGATGCGTTATCCATCAAGTGAGGAGCAAACCCTAACCTGTGACAGGTCGTCGTTGAAACAAGCTAGAATTAAGCTATGATATCGTCTGACAGGTTTTCAGGAGAAAAATTACTGTACATATCATACCTATTGGAGAGCAGAGAAGTAAACCAAAAAATGCATGTCAACCTTTTTCCCCCGTACTAAAGACTCTTATTGTGGAAAGAAAACACTCCCATCTTCAATCAACATGATACGAGTAGAGAGTTTAATGGATATGTATTTTAGAATGGGATTGAATCCATAAACTGGATGAAATAAGGTTTGTGTCTATCATAAGTTATCACTCATTATTCACCCTGGCACCCCCTCTTCTGCCAAGCCCTCTCGTTATTTTCCATCCAGTCTCCCAAAGAGCTGGAAGTATGTAACGGAGGTTTCACTGTGGTATCTAAGCAGTGTGCTCGTAATAGCCACGTGCGGTAATACGATATCCGTTCCCTCTTCAAACGGATCCCGAACTTGCCAAACAGCTCGAAATATTACTTCCGGGTACGTGGTGAGCGACTTTGGTGTACGGTACTTGTACTCGAGTACTCGGCACCGATGTCCGCTGAATCTGGGAGCAGGTTTTCCGGGGGGATTTCTTCAATTGTTTTATTATTACCAGGTTGGGCTCCTGTGTGTAACCCGAGTGAGGTATACAAGTATCATGTCATAGGCTATCTTGCAGGTACGGATGTTGCCGTATCACAGTGACTCAGTCAGAAGCTGTGTGAAGAGGATCTGGGGAATTGACGGGGGGGTTATGGTGGGTGTGCGTGTCACATGAGAATAGATGGGGTAGAATGGGATTGTGGGTTATCCTATGCTCTGGGCGTGGGCAAGTAGGGAGTGAGTGTTGGTAACCGTTTGGTCTCGGGGTGGCTTTGGATACACACGATACGGGACTACTTCTCCATGCGGGCATCACGTTCTTGCCGGTGGTGGATTGACTTGGCTCTTTTGGGAGGTTGCTACGCTGTCTTCCTTCTGGTCTGTTACGAGGTTTCCTGAAGTATGATATTGAGTAGGAGAGCATGGTGTTGCGGTTGGTAATGCATTGAGGTTGTTTGGGTATATAAATAGACTACTGTTACGCGTGCTGCCACAGTACGAGTATACTAAAACGTAGGGATAGACTTCCCATTAGTACTCGTAAATCCACTTTCGGCCAGAAAAAAGGAACGATAAATCTCCGAAACACGATAAGATAAGGCAGAAAAAGAGCAAAAATTAACTTTTGATAAGTGACTTCATGGTGAAGGCACTCTTGGACTTCGCTCTTCCTTGCTCGACCTTGCGGCTTCTGCTTGCGCTAGCTGACGCTACAGCTGTTGGGGCGGGCTTGGCATCTTTATCCGGGACCGCGGGGGGAGGTGGTGATAGAGTTGGGTGCGAGGGCGGGATAGGAAAGAAGGATTGTGGATCAATTCCCGTTGCGGCAAGGCGGGCATGGTGCTTTAGAACCAAGTCCAAACGCGACTCTGGATACAAGTAGACAAAAAATCAGTATCACACTCCCCCGACCGATGCTTAGCCATAGATACATACCAAACACGAACCCAGCCTTAATACAATACCACGGCCAATTAATGCCCTCCTCAAACAACAACCCCTGCAACACCTCCTCCCCCCACACCGCCTCCTCGCCACCATCCCCAACCACCGTGGCACTCAACAGCCACTCCACCAAATCCATCTTTCTTGGCCTCCCCCCTACTCTCTCCCAATCATTACTGTCAACAACTACAACATTCGCCTTCCCAAGTGGCGGCAGCACAAGCTTCCCACCCTTATCCAAGAGCCTACAATGCTCGATTCTCAACTCGCAGTTGAGGGGTTCATATTTGGCCTCCGCCCCCGGGGCTGACGCACCCATGCCGAAGGAGCTAGCGCGCTTAGAGGCTAGCTTGCGTTCGTGCTGGAGACGCTGTAGGTCGATTGTAATTGTGTTGCAGAGTGCGGCGTAGAGACCGCCGATGTCGCCAGGTGTGATGGCAGAGATGTCGAAGTGGACATGCCGCCAGCGGCGATTGGCGGTGCTGGATTCGGTGGAGTAGCGTATGAGGAGTTTGTTGGGTGGGGTTGCGTTGATTACGTCGACTTCTTCGGGGACTTCAGGTGGGGGGGAGGACATTTTCCGTGGGTTGGGGCGGGAGCGCTTTGTCTTGGTAGTGGCGGTAGTGGAGAGCTCTATGAGGCAAGGAGGTGAGAAGAGATCGTAACCTTTGTCTCGTGGTGCGCTGTTTCTGCTCCCAAGATAGATCCGGCAGTCTGTGCGGGAGGCTGGGTGATGGAATAGGGTAAGAAGGAATAAACATGAACGAGGGAATAAAGCATGAAAGAGATGACCAGTCTTGGCGTCTGGCGTCTTCGGGATTTAGCCATAAATTTCAGCACTTGTGCATCTCCTCTTTACTTGGTTCCTGGATACTGTCCCGCAGACTGTTTAATTCCAAACCATAAAAAAGACATCATGGAACGGTAGTGGGAGCACTGGGAGGGGATAGATTTTGGTGCTATTGTAGATAATATTACCTCCTTTAACCTGAACCCGCCTGTATCAATCCCCGTGAACTCTGCCCAGGCGCCGCCATGTCATAGCAACCCACTACTGTACTGCACTCGCGCAGTGGCAAACCTTGCGCATCAACATTAACATGCATCCCGTATTATGACCCGACCTATATCGCACGGGTGCCCCGAGCCGTTTACATGCCGGGGGGAGCCCAAGGGCTGGATCAAGGAGGTATCGTGTGTTGAAAACATATTTTTTTCTCTTCTGCACGCATGGAAACGGCCTTGATAAATACTAGGATTTGGAAGAATGGGTTTGGGTTGTGCCAAGTTAGGCGGGATATGGCTGGGGCAGTGATGTTTTGTAGTGGGTGGTTAGGGATAAATTATATAGATGGTAGAGGTTGTTGTGAGAGGGGGAGAGTATTTGTGTAAAGTCTTTGATGGGTGGGTGAATGGGGATGGGGGTAAAACGTTGGATTGGTGAGTATTTAGAATTGTTGAGAGGTAGTCCGCTGTGTTGGGTCAGTGTGAGAGATTTGGTTGGATGTAATATTAAATATATCAGTAGGGAGATAGAGAACAGGTATCTACCACTGGAAACAGCGTAGACAAATTGGTCGCAAAAATAGGATCCAAGGACAAATCGTAAGTGCGAATAATGCCAAGGGGGCAGGTTTGATATTACAGTACGGAACTAGTACAACTACTCGTATATGATAATGCAGGAAGCTTCACGGTTTCGCTTTACCCCGTGCACAACCGGGCGCATCACAATACGGTAGCGCTAGGAAGGGGAAGCGCTTGAATTCAGTATTCAAATCAGGGATAACGAGGGCCTAGGAGAATCAAGTGGAGATGGCAGGAAAAGAACCGTTTATTTGGAACCCCTAATAGGAAAAATAAGAAATTGTGACAACCTCCAGTTTCTAGTTCATTTTACGGATGAGCTGGTTAATGAACTGCTCACGATCACCCAAGTCACCGCCCTCGACAAAATGTTTGAATTTGCGAGTGCGGAAACCGCCGTTGGGAGAAGAGAGCTTGAAGGGCCAGAGAAAGTTGGAAGCTTGCTTGAAGTTAGGGCCGACAGTGTAGATCTCATGGATAAGATCCTCGATGGAGATGATTCCATACTTGCCCAAGTTCTCCTCAATAAGCTTGTTATCGGTCTGGGATAGTGTTAGTTTGATGTTAGGGGTAGGATGACAAGAGGGATATACCAAGGGGATTCTCTGGCGATCAATCTTTCCGTAGCCACGCTTGTAGATCAACTCACGGACGGACTTGAGGTTTGGTTCACCGTATGCAATCCATGGCTCAACGACACGGAGCATTTCAGCAGTGGCCTTGGTAAGGCGAACGAAGACACCGTTGTTGATCTGGAGGAGACGGAGGAGTTGAAGGATCTTGCGAGGCTTGGGGGCGATCTTGTTGATACTATTCCTAATCGTAAGTCTGGTGTTCCAGTGACTTGAGGGGATCAAATACAAACCCCTTGATACGAACAACAAAGACAAGCTTCGGTTGAGCAGGGACATAAAAGCTGCCGTTCCTCTTGGCTTCACGAGCAAGGCGGATTTTCTCACGCTCTGCCTCACGGTATTCCTTTACGTACTTCTCCGCACGCTTGAAGATAACTTCGCGCTTGGCCTTGACGTCCTGTGATTTTCCAATATCAGCACATGCTCAATTGGCGATCGTGAAAGCAGAAAGAGGAGAAAGCAGAATTCTCAGTCCCGAAAGATGGTTAATGAAGCAACAGCATTGCCGTAGCTAGTTGCATGTATTGTTCATATCATCACTGAATTGCGCCTCCCCTTGTCCTTTGGTAAACGGGGGGAGAGTGGGAAACTACCTTCTTTCTTGTCTCAGCAGCCGCGGCGCGCTCCTCAGCAGTCTTCTGTTGAGCCTTGCGCTTCTTAAGAAGAGTTTCTGGGATAAGGATTTGGTCGGCGGTGGGGACGGTACTATTCCAGCATTGTCAGTTGCAACGCAAGCAAGTATAATAACAGCGCCGAGTACAGAAGTGACAACGGTCATTATTCTGTTGCTCTGAATGCTGGTGCACTCGACGACATAGATTTAATCGGTAAGAAAGACTTGGTCCTCATAGGTCCTTTGTTTGAGCAAGAAAGGATCAGAGGACACTGCAAGAGTATCCGACAAGACCCTGAAAATGGCTTCAGGAGGAACATATACTGGGGGGAATAAAAGTTGCGATGCTCAATACCTTGCCCAGGGCAAAGAATCAGCAGCAAAGAATCAATCCCCAGTAGCAGTATTTATTTAAGGAAGGAACCGGCAATAGCCAACTCCAACCCAGAACCTCAAGGCATCATCTGTATCTAGATGCCGCCCAAAGAGATGAAATCGAGGTGGAATGCAATTCTCAAGAAAAGCGATCACTAGCGAGAAAGCAAAGAACGATGCTAAAGATGAAAGGGATTGGGATCGCGGGGAATCATACGTGTTAGGCATTGTGGTGACTTCCGTAGGCGGCGGAGTGGTTGATGGTTGTCGGTTGTGGTTTCTTGTCAAGTTCAGGAAGCTAAGAATTGAAGGTTTTTTTTTTTGTGCGGTTAAGAGTGATGAGGAGGACTGCTTTTTTTCTTTTGGGATCTCGGCGGCTGACACAAGGAATAGGTTAAGCGTGTATTTGGACAGCAACAATGGTCGTACAGGTTTATACTTTCTACTTTATCACAATTTTTTTTAAAAAACCCACATTAATTCAATAATTTATTATCGATATTAATATTCTCTATCTCAATGTTTTTTTTCAGAAAAGAGGTATAGAGGGTTTAGGGTTAACGAATCAAATAATACTGGTATCGTACAAGGGTAAATCATGAATTCATGGTACTCGTGCCAAGGCTGTGGCTAGTCGCCACAACCGGTTGCTCGCTCGCAACCCTGGGCACTTCTCCAGAATGATACTGTACACGGGTACAGGGGTATTTCGGGTGCAGTAACACAAGCTCTCAATTCTAATACTATGCCATGTTCGGCAACCCCCCCCCCGGTCACAATACCCCTATTGCTATGCTTGGTCAGTGAAAAGTAAACTGTGATAAACAACATGTCCCATTCCGCTGAAGTTCCACAACTCCAATATGGTATCCTGCAACACCATGAAGCAAACCGGCACTTGTGAGCAAAATCCACAAGGAGTTCGACACCGTGAAACAACACATGATGAGCGTAACAAGGTCTTCACTCTCCGTGATCATGCGGGGTGGAATTGGTCAAGAATTGGGTGAGAATTAAACATTGACCAAAGAACCTGCTATCGAGTAAGTGAGATTTCTATTTTTAATTAAAGGCACCTGTAGTTCAAGTTTGTTAATATTGAATATAAAGATATATAAACGTGCTAAGAAGGATAACACACCTTCAAACCGTCAACATTCTGGCCGGCCTCCCATTTTCGATGATGCTGAGAAGCAGCGATTAGAGGCATTTGTGACACAAAATGCTAGGACACGACGCCTTAGCTGGGAGGAGATATGTGAGGAGATGGGTTACGCTTGCAGTCCCGATACTGTAAAGCGCGTTATGGAGTCCTTAGGCTATCACCATCGTATACCTCGGCGCAAATTTGCAATCCAGCCAGCAAGCAAACTACTCCGTGTCGCTTGGTGTCGTGAACGTCTTGACTGGACATATGAGGATTGGTCCCGCGTTCTGTGGACTGATGAGTCCACATTTTCAACCGCAGGGTTTGGTAATCGGCCATGGGTAACAAGAAAGGCCACGGAAGAATACCATGTCGACTGTGTTGATGAAACCTTTAAGTCCGGACGCCAAACCAAGATGGTTTGGAGGGGGTTCTGTGGGACTTTAAAGTCCAAGCTTGTTTTTGTTCCATGTAAGGCAAAGGTAGACTCTGCCTTTTATGTAACAAAAATAATGCATCCCTACCTGGTCCCTTTTTGGTACCGCTGCTGTGAAGAATATGGTTGTGTTACGGTAGTTGAGGATGGGGCACCTGGACATAAAGGTTACTCTATCCAATATCGTAACCTTAACGAGATGGAAACAACTCGTTGGCCTGCTCAATCACCAAACCTAAACCTAATTGAAAACTTATAGTTAGATATGGAAAATGAGCTTGGAGAAACATGGGGAAGGATAGGTGATATTACAACTCTTGAAGCTGCTATAATGGCTGTCTGAAATGCTATCCCAAAGGAAAGACTTGAAAGTCTTATTAGGAGTATGCCGGAATGACTGCAAGCTGTTCTTGACGCAGAGGGGGGGGATACAAAATACTAGATCAGTGTTCTGTATATAGTCTGATACTGGATTCAACTTCTCTTATTCATAATGGTAATCACTAGATATCACTCGCTATAACTAAATTGTCTTAGTATATATTTAATTCCTGCACCTATATTAAGAGATGCACACAACTTTTGCTGTCACCAAAAAAACTCACCAGCTATCACTCGAACTTCCAGATCTGGTTTAGCCCACATACAGATACAGTGGTAGTGGACGCAACTTTTGCCTACCCCCTAGTACAGTACTCATACTACGAGTACGGTATCTGACAGCTCAACGGAAGTTTGTGGCTCTGGAGGAGTGCCCATGGTTGCGAGAGAGCAAGTAACCAGGATTTGTGGTGGCTAGCCACAACCTTGGCATGAGTATGAAGCAGGGATCATACATACGATAGCAGTTGTTAGAAATCATAGCTTTATCATACTAAATATTGTACTTCTGCAACAGTCTCAAGTGAAGCTCCGTCACCATTTATGTCACCTTGTTCATGAGCTTATCCTCTCAGATACAACACTTTCCTCTCATCTCCTCTCTTTTTACTTTCTTCTTCTCGCTAGGATCGTTGTCTTCTATAATAGGATTTCATATCCTCTTTGTTTTTTCTAACAGTAGTGGTATTGTGCATGGATAAAATTAACCGCGATTCAATAGAGGAAAATCTTCGGTAATGACAACCAAACCCACCCACCAATCCACTATCATGAAAACCAAAAAACAAAATTAAAAGATGTAAATATATAGTAGAAATTCATATTTGGTATATCATCCATTAGCCTTAATAATTACCTCTATTTTATCCACCATTGATCTAGCTAAAGTATCAAAAACCTTTAAGTCAAGAAGTTCCCAACAATGAGTGATGGTTTTTACAATTACGTTCTTGACCACATTGATATCACCCTTCATAAGATATAGCTCAGGGTAGTGCTTGTGAAGCTTACCTTTCACCAGAGATCAAATATTTTCAATTGGGTTGAAATCTGGTGAATAGGCAGGAATTTTCATCAGTGTAATTCCTGACCCTCTGAGCCATCTCCAAAAAGGCTAGTAAGTCTTAGCATTGTCAATGATAAAAAATACCTCTTCTTCTCCAGCCTTTTCTCTGATATTTTCCCATATTCCTAGAAAGTTATAATAATCATAAACATCAATAATTCACTTCTCAGTAACTCCACATCCAGCAGAAGAAGGATCAGAAAAAATAGGCAAAAAAAGACTATGAGTTTAACTATAAAAACAACCAATGATCATCTAGCTAATCCCTCTCTCCCCTCTCCTAGCCTTAGGTTCAACACAATCCTTATTCCATTTCTCATATGGGTATCCGAAAATCAATTTTCTTCTCTTTCCTCCTCCCCTTTCCACAACTACCTCATCCTCCCACATTGCCTTTCTTCTCCACATCTTCTTTGTCCAATGCCTATAAGCTAATGCCCATTCCAAACTCTCTTAAGCTAGATTCTCATTCAAATGCACTCTCTCTTGTGTTATCCACTTTTTAAGATGCTTTTTTTCAAGTCTTCTCCTTACTGTCCTACTAGAAAGATTAGAAGTAACTTGCTCAGTAATGTCAGAATAGATAGTATGGCTATTTTTAAGAGCTTTCTCCACCATAGCATCATCCTGTGACTTAGTAGTTTTAGGATGTCTTCCTCTATCCTTATTCTTCTTGCCCTCTTAATGTCCCTTTACAATTATGTCTCTGACAGTATTGTAGGGGATATTAAGATAGTGGAAAATTTGCTGATATCTTATCTGAGACTCATGTAATCCAAGAATCCTCCCCCTGGTAAACTTACAGAGATGTGTGGAGGGAATAGGTTTTTTGAGATGACTGCAAAGAAAAGAAGGTATAGTTTATTGAAAAAAAGAATTGAGCAGAGTAGTTTCTTCTTGGTTGACTTAGAGCATTTTTTTAGGTACTGTTAAGAGTGCGGAATGATGAAGAGGGGTGGGTTGCCACTGATTGTTGAATCATGGTTAATTTTGTCAACACATAATATTAGGAAGGAGGAGTAATGGTACTGTTGTTTAAAGTATGATAGGGTTTTAAAGATTATTGTTAAGCATGAAATTATCGTTGAGATGGAGGGCACTTCTCTGGAGTACCCTGGGTTGCTAGTGGTGGACGCCACCACCTTCCCATGATTACTAAAGTATCTGCACTATTCCACAACCGGTTGTTCAGTTCTTTCATCCCAGGGATCTGTACACGGAATTTTGTATTAGAGTGAATCAGTTGCGGAATCACAGTAACCTCCCGGAAAGGGTATCAACGCTTACCGTATACAGCTTAATCTCGTTGTGTCGGACGCGAATTACTCTCGTTGGAATGCAAAAATAAAATAATTGCTCCAATATTCTACCCCTATTCCAGGTACTAATTTTGGGTCAACTACTATACTCGTAAAGTGTAAGCGCAACCCCTTGAAACGACTTTACTTGTACTTGTACGTCCGCCTAATTTCAGCACTCCTCTTCTGGAAAGGTCAGTGCAGTTGCTGTTGTGTTCAAGTTATTTATGCTACTTGTCTTCGAGTACGGGGGTTCAGGGTATGTGAGGCGAAGCGGTTCTCATTGGTTACTAGGTTACTGGGCCAATGAGAGAGCAAGAAGCGTTAGGGTTGGTAGATTTTGAGTTCGCCTCACTTTTTTCCCCCTCCAAAAGAAGGCCAAGATTGGCTGTTTCTATGGTTACACTCACCAAACCTTCGTAGGTTAAAATCCAATTAAGTACCAAGTTCGCCTCACAAATGCTCACACCCGATGTACAAGTATCATATCAGGCATAATGTTTTCTCACAGTTAATTTAGGTTAATCCGCCTAATAATCCCTGTCTTGTACGAAAACATCCTCTTTGTTACTTGCACGACCGAACGAGTACTGGGAGAACCTCCCCTATTGGTGATAATTGGAGAAGCCTGCCAAGTCTCGCGAAGAACCTAGTCCGGTATGAGCATCTGAGTCGGAAGCGTGGAAAGTAAAAAAAAAAAAAAAAAAAAATGAAAATGAAAAGGAGAGGGAACCATCTCGGGCGTTCTCTTCCTGCTTCTAAACACACAGCTCCTCTTTTGCTTTCCTCACTTCTTAACCTCATATGATGATGTTTTCAATACGAGACAACT